CCTCATAAGACCTTCCCTCCATACCAGGCAACATCCTGGTAAATCTCATCTGCACCTTTTCCAATGCTTCCACATCCTTCCTATAATGCGGCGACCAGAACTGTACGCAATACTCTACGTGCGGCCGCACCAGAGTTTTTGCTCTTGTGCTCACTGGTAGCTCATCTGTGACTGAGCACACTGTGGGCACATAGACTGGTTTGCCTTTCCTCCACGTACTGGAAATCTTTCAGCCTTCACTTAATGCTGCCACATTACAGAAGGCTTCAAATCATTGTTGGTGAACAAACAGCGGGGGGTAAGCACAGCACAGTTCCTTGTAATGGACTACAAGTCGTTCTCCTATAATGCGATAGTTGTGTTCTTGTGTGATCTTGTGCTACAGAAAATCACATTATAGGGAAATTGCTACATCTGCACGGCAGAAAGTTTGCGTTCTCGAAACAGTAACCACTATTCATCAGTTGCGTTAAAGCCAATTCATGTTAACAAAACATGCGTCCTGGTAGAACTGTCTATACTTTGGAACAAAAAGTTCTGAGGAAGGGTCACCAGACCCGAAACATTAACTCTGTTTTTTCCTTCACAGATGCTGCCAGACCTGCTGCACTTTTCCAGCAACTTTGTTTTTGTACTTTGGAATATGGATAGTAGGTACCTCACACATCAATTAAAGCAGATGCAATGGGGACAAAGTCCAGACAGAGATGCAGGCCCTGGCAGTCTGAGCTTTGACTTTAGCCTGGCCACAGACTACATGATAGTAACAGTGTCTTTGTAAACGTTATTCTAATGTTTTTACCTAAAGTGGGAAAGCATCGAATCAAATCAGCATGCATGGGACCAACTCTAATCCCGAGTATTGCAGCCAATCCAGAAATTGCCCCAATGAACAGATGTTATATTGAACAGTTCAGTCGTGCTTACAAACAATAGCTGAAGGTGATAATCTCAAACAAAACTGATTTAATCAAACAGGCACACATCATAAGCTCAGTACCCGTTTCAGGGATGTCTTCCCAGCCAAGATAATTGCCCTGAAATGGTAGAATATTAATGCTAAATGAGTCTAAAGTGTTTTCAGTCAAAACTGCCAGGCACCGTCCCTATCGAACTAATAATCTATTCTTTATACTCACACTTCTCTGCTTCTTGAAGTGATCGGATGGCTTCCCCACATTTGTCACCGGCCAACAGGGTCTGGCCATTGTAACAATATGCCTGTAACATAACATTGACAGGATGAAGAACCCACACATTGCTAAAAAATGACCTGATTGTCTTAACCTGAGAGGCATCAAACCCTCCCGAGAGGATACAGTGGATCCAGCCCAAGGTCAACAGAGAAAGGGCTCTCTTGCCTAATTAATGCTCACTGCCACCTACCCCTCAGAACCTTTCCCAGTATAGTAGGCTGCCACAGGTAAACCTCGTCTGATCTCTTATTTAGGGCTGGAGAACTCTGACTGTACACACCATCGAAGCAGCACATTTTGTAATCACCATTCTGTTTCTGGCAATGCCACAAATAGCTCAGTAATATTTAAATAATTATTTGCACTAGAGATACATGCCTGGTACCCAAGTTCAAATGAAAAAGTGTCAAAGAAACAACAGACAAAATGATGGGGCCACAAAGCTTAGGAAGACCATCAGCTCCCCGAAACCATACAGAGGGGAGTTGCAGCACTCTCTGTGGCCAGTCCTATTATACAGCAAAATGGGGCATCAGTTGTGAGTATTTCATTTTTATTGCTGGAAATTTTATTTAGTTTTATTTTACTTAGTGTGTGCATTGACAAAGCCAAACAACATCTTCGTCAGCAGCTAGATGGAGTTCTTTATTCTCACCTTCAAGTATAGTCAACAGACACTCCTTAACATTGAGTGTTATTGTTTGGACAGTGAAATAACTGCTCTGAATAATTTTACATCCATTTACATTGGGTAGCTGCGGAGCAGCCTTGGCCAGTCTGGAAACAATTTGAAAGGAACCACTGTTGCCATTGGAAATCAAAGTTGGGTGGATAGGTAGTCGGGTCTACAATGAAACTGGTTTCTGGCAGATTTTTCTTTCCAGCAAATCCATCAACCATAGGTCTTCAGCTGTTATCCCCCAGCGTGGTGGGTTTAACCATATGGGATGGGATGAAGGGAGGCACACTGCTGATGGATTTAGGAAGTCACTGACACAGGACAGGCTTGATTTAAGGTAGATCGTCTCCAGTCAGGAGCCACGGAAGGTGAGTTGGCTGAAGAGTGACTGTGGTAAAGCATGTTGTTGAGTTGTATATCAATAAGTTTGATGTGGACAGAGTGGTACCATATTGGGGCACATTATTCTACCTGATGGTAAGAGCAGGCGTTCTTAAAGTCTTGGCTGGTGATCCTCATGAGGAATAAGCCAGTTTACTGAAGATGTTGTTATGGGATTGTTATTTTCTGACATCTTGATGAGGTGCTGTCTGTATTTAAAGGTTCTGTCAAGGAAGGCATCTAAATAAATAGGGCAGGTATCATGCTTCAGACCTGGCCATCATCCAGAGATGGAGAACATGCGAATAGGTTAAAACCAAGCAGGTTTTTGACAAGGAAGAAACAGCTGTGATCAGGTCCTCACATGAGCCACTTGAATTGGAAATGACCTTTAAAGCAATCTCAAAATTGGTCAATTTCTTCAATCTTATTGCCCAATATCAAAATCTCAAGAGTTCTCCCTCCCTGGGTCACTGATTGCATTGATTTTCTCCTCCAGGACAGATAGTGCAGGTTGCACATGGTCCTGGTGGAAACAGAAATGGGCTACTCCAGGTGTTTGTCTTATACTCAACCCTGTTCAAAATCTACACCAACATCCTACAACAACCTGGACCCACAGGTCTCTCTCTGCAGACAATATCTTCAGTGGCATAGGGGCTCAGAATTTTCCAGCACTGGAAGTTGTATTATGCAATGACATTGCAAAGCTGGCCAACTACTGCAAGATATGGCACCTACAATTGAGCACCAATAAGACAGTCTCTAGAACATTCCATCTTCCACCTTCATATCTATGGCAAAGACTCAGTGTTCTCATTGTGCCACCCATCAGTAGCTGACCTCCATTGGGAAAGCAATGAGCCTCCTCACAAACCAAACTCAGCATGCCTGCTCTTGAAGAATCCCTGTATCACAGAACCAAAACCCATCAACAATGAGATCCTGTTGCTGCAAATGCATTAGTCATATAAAAAAAGCATTAGAGAGATTAGTTTTCATCCAGCAGAGCAATTAACTGTCCAGAGGGGGAAAAAGGCATTTCCTTCAAGAAACTGTTACTCTGATCAGATCCTCAGATCCCAATCCCACATTTCAGGGATCAATGAACCAGCACCAAACACCACAACATCATAAAATTAGCAACCTTCTGCTTGAATTTGCTGGTTTAACACTTACATAAGCCATGTAGAAGGAGTTCTTAAGCTGTAAATACTTCCTCCATTTTGCTGTGTAAGTTGGATCCAAGGTGGTAAGAGTGTGATCTGAAGGAGGAAAATCAGATGTAAACTACAGTCTTTAAAGTCAGTTCCACTTCCATTACCACTCACTTTGCCATTTCATTCCATGACATCTTGGTAATTTAATTCTCCCTCTCCAATTCATCCTGTTTATCCTCCCTTACTCTCCACCCTACACTTCTAATGCATAAAACACACCATATTTCTACCTCCAGCATGGCAGTTAACTGTCAGTTATCATCAAGTGGAACATTGGTAGAGTGATTGGCCATGTCAACGGGAGTCCACTTCTTAATCAGCACTTTGCTTCGTACAGTACAAATACATTTATTATTCTTATGAACTGTCCTGATGAATACAAGATAAAAAGCTTCAACAAAATGTGAGAGAACAAGGTGTAGAGCTGGATGAACACAGCAGGCCAAGGAGCAGAGGAGCAGGAAAGCTGACGTTTCGGGACTGGACCCTTCTTCAGAAGTGGAGGAGGGGAAGGGGATTCTGAAATAAATAGAGAGGGGGCGAGGTGGATGGAAGATGGATAAAGGTGCAGATTGGTGGAGAGGAGACGGACAGGTCAAGGAGGTGGGGATGGAGCCAGTAAAGGTGTGCGTAGGTGTGGAGTGTGAGGGGGAGTTGAAGTGGTTCGTGACTGGGAGGTGCAGTCGTTTGTAGTGAACCGAGCATTGGTGTTCCACAAAGCAGTCTCCAACCTCCGCTTGGTTTCCCCGATGTAGAGGAGGCCACATCGGTAACAGCGGATACAGTATACCACATTAGCAGACGTGCAGGTGAACATCTATTTAACGTGGAAGGTTTTTTGGGGCCTGGGATTGGGGTGAGGGAGGAGGTGTAAGGGCAGGTGTAGCACTTCCTGCGGTTGCAGAGAAAAGTGCCGGGGGTGGTGGGGCGAGTGGGGAGTGTGGAGCGGACAAGGGAATCACGGAGAAAACGGGCCCTCCGGAAGGCAGATAAGGGTGGGGAGGGAAAAATGTCCTTGGTAGTGGGGTCAGATTGCAGATGGTGGAAGTGGCGGAGGATGATGCATTGGATCCGGAGGTTGGTGGGGTGGTACGTGAGGATGAGGGGGATTCTGTTTTTATTGTTATTGCGGGGAGGGGGTGTGAGGGATGAATTGCAGGAAACGCGAGAGATGCAGTCGAGGGCGTTTTCGACCAGAGGAGGGGAAGTTGCGGTCCTTGAAAAACGAGGATATCCTGGATGTCCGGGAGTGGAATGTCTCATCTCGGGAGCAGATGCGGCGGAGGCGAAGGAATTGGGAATAGGGGATGGCATTTTTGCAGGAAGGTGGGTGAGAGGAGGTGTATTCTTGGTAGCTGTGGGAATCAGTTGGCTTGCAACAGATATTGGTTTCCAGGTGGTTGTCAGAGATGGAAACAGAGGGGTCCAGGAAGGGGAGAGAGGTATCTGAGATGGTCCAGGTGAACTTAAGGTTGGGGTGGAAGGTGTTAGTAAAGTGGATGAACTGTTCGAGCTCCTCATGGGAGCACAAGGTGGCACTGATACAGTCATTGATATAACGGAGGAACAGGTGGAGGATAGGGGCAGTGTAGCTTCAGAACAGGGATTGTTCCACGTATCCTACAAAGAGGCAGGCATAGTTTGGGCCCATGCGGGTACCCATGGCCACCCCCTTTGTCTGTAGGAAGTGGGTGGAATTGTAGGAAAAGTTGTTAAGGGTGAGGACGTGTTCAGCTAAGCTGACAAGGGGGTCAGTGGAGGGGGACTGGTTGGGTCTGCGGGACAGGAAGAAGCGGAGGGCCTTTAGGCCACCTGCATGATGAATGCAAGTATATAGGGACTGGACATCCGTGGTGAAGATGAGGTGTTGGGGACCAGGGAATCATAAGTTTTGGAGGTGGAGGGCATGGGTGGTGTCACGGATGTAGGTGGGGAGTTCCTGGACCGGGGGGAGAAAATGGAGTCGAGATAAGTGGAGATAAGTTCGGTGGGCAGGAGCAGGCGGAGACAATGGGTCAACCAGGGCAGTCGGGTTTGTGGATTTTTGGAAGGAGATAGAAACGGGCGGTGCGGGATTGGGGAACTGTGAGGTTGGAGGCTGTGGGTGGAAGGTCACCTGAAGTGATGAGGTTGTGGCTGGTCTGGGAGATGATGTTTTGGTGGTAAGGGGTGGGGTCATGATCAAGGGTGCAGTAGGAGGAGGTCTCAGAGAGCCACTCCACCAACCTCCGGATCCAACGCATCATCCTCCGCCACCTGCAATCTGACCCCACCAACAAAGACATCTTTCCCTCCCCACCCTTATCTGCTTTCCGGAGGGACAACTCTCTCCGTGACTCCCTTGTCCGCTCCACACTCCCCTCCAGCTCCACCACACCCGGCACTTTTCTCTGCAACCGCAGGAAATGCTACACCTGGCCCCACACCTCCATCCCAGGCCCCAAGAAAACCTTCCACATTAAACAGATGTTCACCTGCACACCTGTTAATTTGGTATACTGTATCCGCTGTTCGCGATGTGGCCTCCTCTACATCAGGGAAACCAAGCGGAGGTTGGAGACCGCTTTGTGGAACACCAACGCTCGGTTTGCGACAAGCGACTGCACCTCCCAGTCGCGAACCACTTCAACTCCCCCTCCCACTCCTTGGACGACATGTCCACCCTGGGCCTCCTCCAGTGCCACAACGATGCCACCTGAAGGTTGCAGGAACAGCACATCATATTTCGCTTGGGAACCCTGCAGCCGAATGGTATCAATGCGGACTTCACAAGCTTCAAAATCTCCCTGCCCCCGACCACATCCCAAAACCAGCCCAGCTCGTCCCTGCCTCCCTGACCTGTCCGACCTTTCTCCCACCTATCTATTCCTCCCACCTCAACCCCCACCCCCACCTCCTACCTACCAGCCTCATTCCCGCCTCCTTGACCTGTCAGTCTTCCCTTGACTGACCAACCGCCATCCTAACTCCCCACCTACACACTTTTACTGGCTCCATCCCTGCCTCCTTGACCTGTCCGTCTCCTCTCCACCTATCTGCTCCTTCATCCATCTGCCTCCCCCTCTCTCCCTATTTATTTCAGAATCCCCTTCCCCTCCCCCATTTCTGAAGAAGGGTCCAGACCCGAAACGTCAGCTTTCCTGCTCCTCTGATGCTGCTTGGCCTGCTGTGTTCATCCAGCTCTACACCTTGTTATCTCAGATTCTCCAGCATCGGCAGTTCCTACTATCTCTCTTCAACAAAAGTGCTCTCTTTCAACAATAGGCCAGTTCTGTACTACCAAACGAGTTTGACTTCTCCTCGATTTCATTTAAAAGTCATATTGAATTCAAAACAAACTTTGTTGTTGTATTCACAGGTGCTCCCAGACCTGCTGAGTTTTTCTAGCACTTCCTCTGGTAACGAGCAGACAGATGGAGCTGTTGCCTGACAAGTACTCGGGTCCTGATGGATTTCATCCCAAGGTCATAAAAGAGGTAGATAATGATGTGGTGGTGTTAATTTTCCAAAATTCACTAGATTCTGGATAGGTTCCATTAGGCTGGGAAGTAGCAAGTATAATGCCTTGATTCATGAAGAGAGACAGAAAGCAAGAAACTATCAACAAACTAGCTTGCTATGTCACGGGGAAGGTGTTAGATTCAGTTACTGAGGTAATAGCTGGGCAAAACCCAAAACTCATTACCTCGAATTTCGCTAGGTAGGAGTTTTTTGTGAAAGGAAAATCACATTTAACCAATTTATTGGAGTTCTTTGCTATGGATAAAGGGGACCTGTGGACGGACTATACTTAGATTTACAGAAGGCATTTGACAAGATCACCTAAAAGGTTACTGTGCCAAGTAGGAGCTCATGGTGTAGGGGGTGACACAAGAGCATGGACAGAAAATTACCTGGCTGACAGAAACCAAGAGTATGCATAATGCGGATCTGCAGGTCAGCAGGATGTGATGAGCAGAGTTCCACAGGGGTCTGTGCTGGGGCCTCAGCTTCTTGCAATTATATCAATGACTTGCTGGGGCCTCAGCTTTTTACAATTTATACTTGTGACTTAGATGAGGGAAATATAGGCATGGTAGTCAAATTTTCAGATGACGCAAAAATAGGTTGGAAATTACGCTATGAAGACAACACAAGGATATTACAGATTGACAAATGGAGCACAATGTGGAAAAGCATGAAGTTAATCACTTTGGCAGGAAGAATAGAAATATTGAATATGGCTTAAACAGAGAACAACTGCAAAATTGAGATGGTGCAGAGGAATCTAGGTGGTCTACTGCTCGATTCACAAGTCAGCGTAGAGGTAGATCAGGTAATCAAGAAAGCTAATGGGATGCTTTCATTAATTACAAGTGGAATTGAACATAGGATATTATGCTTCAGTTTTGCAAAGCATTGGGGAGACCACATTTGTAATAGTCTGCAGTTTTGGTCTCTTTATTTAAGGAATGATGGAAGTGCATTGGAAGCTGTTCAAAGAAGGTTTAATAGATTGATGCTTGGAATGAGCGGGTTGACTTACGAGGAAAGTTGGACAGGCTGGGCTTCCCTTCACTGAAGGTTAGAAAGGTGAGGGTGAGTTCACTGAAGCGTTTGGATGGTCTGGACAAGCTGAATGTGGAAAGAATGCTTTCTCTTGTGGACCAGTTGAAAATGTGGGACATCTAAAAATCGGGGTTGATATTTAGGGACAGCTCAGGAGTTACTCTTTTCTCTCAAAAGGTTGTGCAACTTTGGAACTCTGCCTCAGAAAATGGAGTCATTAAATATCTTTGAGGTAGAACATAGAACATAGAACATTACAGCGCAGTACAGGCCCTTCAGCCCTCGATGTTGCACCAACCTGTGAAACCAATCTGAAGCCCATCTAACCTAAACTATTCCATTATCATCCATATGTTTATCCAATGACCATTTAAATGCCCT